AAATAAACTGACACTTTAATAACAAAATTTCAGAAATATTATCCCACATAGCCCCACCACACCCCACACACTAAAAATCTAGACACATTAAGGACCGCGCGAATGAAACACGGAGCCCTGGGCGAAGTATGCAACTACAGCCCTTAGAATATAGAAAATGACTCCCTTGATATGGACGCCTCCTGATAGTAATGCCCCTGGCGAGTAGCCTAGCACCTTTACACGGCCCTGCACGGATGGCCCTACAGAATTTCAAGATGACTAGAACAAGAGATACTTAAATATTTAAACTTGACTAAACCCACTACTGGTTTAGAAAGAAATATCGGACTCCTAATATAAATTTATTTCAATCTAGATAAATCCAATTGGGCAATTTGTATAACTATTTTAAAGACTATCTTTGAAGACAGAAGAGTTCGCCTTGATGTACTGCAATTGCACCGTGAAAGTAAAGGACTATATTATGTTAATGTTATATCCACGTTTTCCCATACTCAATTTTACTAATTTCCTGTTTTGATAACCTGATTGCAGTCTCTTCCCATTATTAACATTTTATATTTACGTCTCGACTGCTACTTATTGTATGCTATCGTCTCATTATTATTATTCTTTTTTTCTATTTTGATGTATTTAATTCTGTTTTTTGTGTAGTTTGTTCGCTGACGAAGGCTTCCTGCCGACACGTTCGTTGTTTTGTTGCGTTCCTTTTTCAGGTTTTCCCATCCTTTGTTTTACTCATTTATTTTTTTGTTAACCTGATTGCAGTCTCTCCCCCTTATTACCAAAAGACTAAACTTAAATACACTGAATTTGAAGTTCCACTATCTCATACTACTCATAGTCATAGTAATGAATACCGGGTAAAATTATGTCTTGCACCTATTAATCCTTAAAATCCCTTCATTTTTGTTGCACTTTACAGAAAATGCCGCCCACCCCTATGCCTAAACTTATAGTTATACAGACAAAAAAGTGCTGGAACTGAGAAATCAAATAAAGAAGATTGGAGGCACATTAAGGAGGGCTTTCTGGGGTGGATTGACTTAGCAAGCAAGAAATATTTATTAGAAATATATTTAATCAATCATTTTTGTTAAGTTTTCCAAAAACTAAAAATGTTCAATCACAGACAATGGTACAAAAAATGTCTTGATGAGATAGCCAATTGCCAATGGTGTTCCAGGCTTTGTTGGCTAACAAGGTAGCCATCTTAAAAAAATGTTTTTTTCTAAATCTCATATGTAGCTCTAATTTTTCGGTTTAATACATTTAATAAAATGTATGATCTATTTTTTTTTTTGCTGGCATCCGTACGTCACAATGTGACGATGGTGTAGACTTCGCACGAAGAAATCCACAAGGCCTGCTATTATAATTTTTAGGATATAAACTAGTTTCCTACACCGCAAATCGCCTCTCTCCCCGCCGCTGGATAACCCAAGGAAACATCATGTAGATGATACACCTTGGCACCAGGGGGTTGCAGGAGTTGTCGGAAAGTTTCATTGTTTCAATGTTATCCGCCTATGGGACTCCATCTCCAGGTTTGATTTCAGAGTTTCCTTCTCTTCGATGATGTTTTTTCACCCAATGTTAATGAGTCCCATTGTTGGTAGTGGTGATGAATGTACCTGTTATTAACAATAGTGATAATTATCAATAGTGATAACACAGTGATATATATAAATATAGAATTTTTTCTGAATATTTTTGTGAAAATTTATGTGAAAACATGTCTTAAATATCAAAAAGCATGTCCGCCAGGACATGTTAAACCTATAGAGTTAGTCAGATGGAAGTGATTGGTGAACCATTTCAAAAAGTTGCTAATGACGTTGTGAGACCTCGCCAACTAAGTGCAAATAAGTATAAGAACAGATATAACCTTACGTTGGTTGATATGGTCACTTGATGGCCAGAAGCCATTCCGTTTAAGACTATAACTACACAAGATATGTATGAGTCACTGTTATCAATATTCTTTAGAATAGGATTCACAGAAGTTAATCTATCAGGACAATGGTCCACAATTTTCCTCTGATATGTTTGAAAAAGTGTGTGAACTTTTTAATATAAGGATTTATGATTCATCAATCTAACACACACAATCTAATGGAATGGTGGAAAGATTGAATAGTACACTAAAGGGAATGTTAAGAAAAGTTGCCATTGAAGCACCAGACAACTGGGATAGATTTTTACCAGCACTTTTTTTCGCATCTCGGGAATTTTAGAATGAGACCACATGAGACCATAAGAGCTTATCTTCGGTAGGAAGGTTAAGGACCGATGTGAACATTAAAAAAAGTTACTTACAAATGAAAACATGACAGAAGAGCATAAAACTGTTTATGAGTATGTAATTGACCTAAGAAACATTAGAAATAGGGTTAGAAGAAACACAATCTAACACAAGAATAAAGACGGTAAAATTATTACCTCAGACCGCAATACTGTTATTAAGGATATTCATGTGGGTGACCAAGCATTGGTGATTAACCCAAAAAGGGAAAATAAACTTGCATTATACTCAGAAGGTGCATTCATAGTAAAAAAAGAAATATTCTAAATTAAATATAATATTGAAATACAAAAAGGACATAGTCATAAAGTCTATCACCTGAATAGAGTTACCAAACGTTTTGATTAATTTCTATCAAGGCAACAAGAACAGAAGGAAAACAAGAATAACATAGAAATAGAAGAAACAAGAGCAGAAGGAAAACAAATTACAAGACAGGAATTACAAGTAGACTTACTGTCTAGGCAATAATACCAAAGATATAGCCTATCTACCAAAGAACCAACTGGTAGAGATATTATTGCTAATGTGATACAATTACAGGATGAGAATTATTACAACATCAAGAACTATAGTAAACAGTTAACATCCCTCATTGGAGAATTCAAGGATGTCGTGACTGAAAATATTGGACATACGAACACTTAAATGATTGTATTAACACAGGAACCTAAATTTAAACAAAAACAGTATCCTATACCCTATGCTTATAGAGAGGAAGCAAAGAAAGAACTGAACCATATTTTGAACTAAAAAAAAATTAGAAAATCAAACTCTTCAATATCTTCACCCATGGTGTTAGTAAAGAAGAAAAATGGTCAAGTAAGAGAACTCAATAAAACCACACAGTTAGATGCAGAACCAATGAGAGATACTATAGAAATATTGGAAGAAACAGATTCTTCTACAATAGTCACACATTTAGATCTGAACAGAGGACTTTGGCAGATGGGGATGCAAGAAGAATCAATACCATGATTTTTAAATACTCATCGATTAATGTATTAGATAACCTTAGTTATTTTTATTAATTCATCAAGGATATTGATGTAATTCCCCTGATATGGGGATATAAAGGGAATTATTTTATTAGATCAATATTAAATAGATCAATATTTATAGCTTATACTATCAATCTATTATTTTTCATTAAATATTATTCTATTTTAATTTCAATTTTTCTTTTGACAAATATAAATCTTAATAAATACCATACTTTTTCTATTCAAGATATTATTGACATTTCATGACTACAGATAAAAAGGAAATTGAATTAAACCATTCTTGTCTAATTTTCCCTCCACCAGCTATCTCTCAGACTCCGCTCAGAAGTTTTGAGCATCCGCGCAGCAAATTTCCATGTAATTGTGGGTTTGTGTTTGTGGGCTGTAAAATTTTGTACACAAAAAAATTGATGCTGTAAAACTTTGCACACAACTGTATGATTTTGCACACGAACCAGCAAACCTTAGAGGGAGCATTGGTTCAAACTATCATAAAATCAAGTTTTTGAGATACTATAAGTAATATTCTTTTAGAAAATGTCAAATAATAGGTCTTATAATGAAAATTATATTATTGGGGATTCTTTCTATTCGCTACCTTCAAATTTCTGTCATGCAGAATGCAAGAGGGAAGGCACTAATTGAGTTCAAAAATGCCCTTTCAAATGAAGTTATTAAATCCATTTTTTATGACTTACTACTCCAGAACACACACAAACATAAATGTCTTTGAATCTCTTTAGGTCTTTGGAATATAAACTTTGTCAGAAAAAATTGTCAATACCAGTATCTGACTCGTATGTCACCATCACAGCTAGAGCTAATACTGTAATTACTAGCACATAAACATGGAATATCTCTGAAATCATTGCTTTAATTTTAATCCATTAAAAATAATTCCATCAAAGAAAGGCTGTTAATTTTGAAATCTAGATGGGGACCCTCTCCAGCATCAGACATTATACTGACAAAAAAAATTGAGCAAATTACGCACCCGATTAATCACAAAGAAAAAGTCCTGATAAAATCGTGTTAACACATAGATAGAAGCGTAGATAGGAAACAAACTCATTTGTATAGATTGATTTCCTCTTAACCAATATACATTAAATCATTCATTTTTAATGAAGATTTTGGTACCAGGCGATTATATCGGCCGTGACACCACAGAAAGGGATTAATACAATTCCCATAGCGTCCCATTATAAAAATTTTAATTTTTTCCTGACACAAAGGAAATAAAAATAACAAAAGTGGTTGAAACAATTTTAAAACAATTAAAAAAAAAAAAATTAGGCACTCACCAATGACTGTCATGTTGGTGAGTTGGGTGATGACAAGGAGGATGTCCAGGGGATTTCGAGGATGACAATTTATCACATTTATATTTATACTTTGTGCATATTCATTTGTTCTTAGGCCACGTTTTAAACACAAAACTTGTACATAGAAACAACAATAAATTTATTGCCTGAAATACATAAGTAATGATACAGCGATACAGCTAACGAGATCTTTTTGATCACAGTCATTTAGGACCGCCAGACAATAAAAAAAACCAACTAAACCGCAGTGTAAAATAGTTCAATCATTTATCCAAATAATTATGAAGAAAAAAAACCCACTGCACTATAACATTAATTTAAAACTTTGAAATTAATCAGCTTCTTTATTATTTCTTTTACAGAGCTTCAGGAAGAGTGTGTATTGCAAAGTGTAAAGATTCTGTTCATGTGGTGGCCATTAAGATGATGGATCTGAATAGCCAACCAAAGATAGAATTGACAATCATAGAGATCGAAGTCATGAAACTTTACAGACGTGAAAATATTGTCAACCTCCTAGATTGCTATTCTATTGGAGAGAAGCTCTGCGTTGTAATGGACATCAGTACGTCCAATAAAAATTAAGCAATGGGTTTAATCCCTAACGAATTTAAATAAATATTTGGCTTTTTAATTTTAATTATGAAATCAAATATATAAAAAGTAACCTCTCTGTTACTAACTTTATTCAATTTTCAGGAGTGGAGAAAATGAATATTTACAAATGAACAGATTCAATTTTTTGGGTGCTGTTAAGAATATAACAATTTAAAAAAAAAACAAAAAAACTTGTTGCTCGTTAATTCAAGCTTCAGTGCATCAAAATGTGACTCAGTTTTTGGTTAAAATTTAAGTATATTTGTAAGCTCCTTCAATGACAAGATTCATGAAACTCAACAAGTCATCAGTTTAAGCAAAAGTTTTTATCGAACTGTATTTCCTTGTCACTATTTAGAAGGAAGGGCAGATAACAATTTCTTCATGACGGGAACATTATCCATAGAGATATTAAAAATGACTATGGGCTACTTGGCTTGGCATGATTAGGACAGTCACGATGACAGATTTTGGCATCTGTGCCCAACTTAACGGGGATAAAGGCAAGTGAGACACAATGGTTGGGACCCTTACTGGATGGCACCAGTGGTTGTTTCTAGGTAAGAAATTTCTGTATTAATGTTAATGATCTTTAGGGTCTATTGACTTGCTTTACAAGTGAATTAACCTTTATATTTTAACTGATATAGTTTTTACAAATATTGTTGTCAATTACAAAAAACAGTATGGTAACAGGGATGGTGAACCACCTTACCTAAACAAAACACCTTTAAAAGCAATCTACCATATTGATACAAAGGAGGGTGTTAATAGTTTTAAAAGATTTACAAATGAATCCTCCAGGATAATCTCTTGTCTGATTTGGTAAAATGGGGAAAGGCTAATGTTCCAGAATAATTTGTGAGGCAGCATAATTAAGCTTTTATTATACTAGAGAGAGGAGATACATTTTATTTTCCGAAGAATTGAGGTCTGAACAGCTTGATCTACAATAATATTAATAGTATTAGTATTTATTTACGATTATCAACGCCATTGTCTCAGTAAAGTTATTGATAATCATTGATAGTTTAGAAATAAATAAGTGCAAAAGATTTATCTTGGCAAAAAAAAAAAAAAGTTTCATGAATATAAATGTGTGAATAAATGCAAGGATGTTTATATTTTCCATTCACAGGGTGAGCCAGAAATCAAGCATGAACAAAAACTATCAAAGGAGCTCAAAGATAATATAGACAAGTGCTTGGAAGTTGAAGTAGACGCCAGCTCCAAAGCAGCACAGCTTTTAGAACATCCATTTTTGAAAAAGTCCATGGCCTTAGCAACTCTCAGACCTTTAATACCAGCTGCTCGCTATGCTATGGGAAATCTTAGAGAAACCAAAAACTGCTTAGTTGAATGTTCTTATACTTCAAATCATTGTTATTTTTTTAATTCTCATAAATTCTTTGAATACAGCATCTATTTTAATAAATATTGCGTTCTGAATTCTGAGAATACAATATAAATTTGGTGAGAGAAATAAGGTTGATCACAAATATGTTAACCCTTAGTTTTTTAATAGAAAAATATCAATAATAAACAATTTACAGATCTGTTCATAGCAACCTCTTGAGTAGAGGAATAAAATATAATGTAAAAAAAAATATTTTGAAAACCACTGTCAATGATTTTGTAAGTTAGCAAGGAAGAAAGTTAATACTATGAACATATTAATTAAGTTATTTTTTCAAGTTGATTAGAAATGTGTTCTTTGCTAAATGTACTATAATGCTGAGTGTTGTCAGTACTTTTTTTTTAATCCATTCAGAGAAGAGATGTATTGAATGAAATCTGCTCATTATTTGAGGACATTCCTTGCTTTGGCTCTTATAAAATAGTTCATGTATAAAGTGTCTAAAAAGATCTATCATTGCAAATTATATAAAAATTAATTTGAAGGATTTTTCTCAGGAATAGGATATCTTTGCAATCAAAGATCTGTTGTGTATTTCAAATTAAAATAGATATATATATTAGAAATATGACAAAGCTACTTAGAATTACTGGATATATGAAAAGATAACTTTTTATCTAAATATCAAAAGCAATTCTTATTATTAGACAGTGTTTCTGTTATTTTAAAATGAATTGTTTTTTTAAAAGTAACCGTATACTAAGAAATGACTGTAGCTGAAACATGTTTATTAAAAAGATACATTTTCTATAAGGTACTGTAGTGATAAATTTATGAAATTTAGAGGAGAGAAATGAGATTTTTTTTTAAAAAAGGCAAATTTAAAAAAAATTGTAATATTCCTGTCTAACTTTTCTTGCATCCGACATTTTTCTCTTTTCATGCTGTTTCTTTTTTTTCAGTTGTTACAATTCTGAAAATATTCTACAGTTCTTGAGAGAAGAGAGAGATTGTAATTAATGCTGAAAGTTACAAAAGGACTTTGCTCCCAAGAAAGTGTCTCTAAAACATTTCATGTAGCCTACTTAAATTGAGCCATAATTGTATGATGAAAATGACTACCGGTAACTTGTATTTGGCTTTAAAGAAATTGTTGTTTCTTTTTTCGTATTTAAGTTTAAGAAACCTTTTTAAAAAAAATTAATGGTTATAGAAGTCTCACTGATTTAACTGGAATCTATTTCTTAAATGTATGAATTATTTCAACAAAGATCTACAGTATAATATACGTCATAAATTATTGTCAATGATATAGAAAATTGAAATTAGCTAAATTGCTACTATTTTTTTTTTAATTTAGTTATTTTCACTGTAATTCTGTTTTTTTAGTTTATTTGATGAACACTTTACAGCTGTGATGAAATTATTTGTTGTAAAAAAATATTATTTTGCTCTGATTATTTTGATCAACAATGAAATTTTTGTATACACAAACTTAAGCTGATCTTGGCTATGTTTAACAAATTGATTAAATATAGTTAGACTGCATTCTCAAATACATAATATACTTCACTTAAAGTAATAGCTCCCTATTTTATTTGTATTTTGAGGTACTGTGTAAAAACTTTAAAAAAAACAAAACATTACTGTATTCAGTCCAGTCAATATAATAAAACATGCTAATCTTATGGATATGCTGTCTATTGTAGATTGATTTGGGGGGGGGGGGGCAGTTGACAACTTTGTTAGTTTTTTTAAATCAAACACTTGTCTTGAAAATTTCAGATGGTAAACTTCATTTTTTAAATTTAAAAGTTCAGGTAATACCAGACTTGCATGAGAAGAGCTGGGGCTTATTTATTCATTGATGTTTACTTCTATATCATATGTTTACTGAAAGAACAAATCATTCCTTTTTTTTGCACAGTGGTAAGTTGCTTCATTGAATTATTTTGTTCCTGCTCTTATTAGGCAGATTTGGGCTAGTTCAAATGCGCTCTAATAACTATTTTGTTGTATCTAAGAGTGATAAGATTCTTGTTTTTTAAATGATAATTGAATGTTATAGTTTCTATAACTACAACCTCCTGTGTCTCCATTCCTTGTCACAAATGTTAAAACTTTTTTTATATTGTGCCTTAATCCTTAAGCATTCCAATTTACAATTTTGCAGACATTTCCTTTATTACATATGATCTTTCCCTGAGTGGAAAACCAGGAACATTAACGTTCAAAAATACTTTCATTAATTTTTATTGTACTGAATTTGTTGTTTTTTTTCTATTCCAATTCCTTCCACATTTCAAATTTGGAAACATTTCTGCCTGGCATTGTTTTCTTTTCTCTTTCTATTCAATGTTTTATTTTATATGTCAGGTTTAAAGCAATGTCTATTTTTAAGGTACTGTGTAGGGTTTATATTTTTATAGGGTTTCTTTAGCCTGAAAAGCAAGTACATCACTTTACTCAAAAAAAATATGTCTCGTTGAGATAGAATTTCTATTTTATGAGAAGATTGTTTCTTGTGTTCCAAATATACCTCACATTTGTTTTGGAAATTCAAATTTAAAAGTGTTAAAATCAAAGATATGAAAACTATATTTTAGGCTTTGAATAATTTGAATAGCTTTTTGTGGCTACCTGAAAACTATTTTATGTTGTATGATGTTAGTGTCCCATGAGGCATAGTTTCATCACCATGTCTTATGAATGTGTACGAGGGGAGAAATATTACAAACTATTTCCATAAACCTTGCTCCTCTTCAGTATGTTCAAGAAGTTTGTGAGTATCTGTCACATAAATCAAATTTTATATTTTTTTAATGTATAACTTTATTTTTAAGATTAAATGATTTAATAATTATAAAGGACACAAAACATATCTGATGATATGTTCTTATATAAGGCATGCATGACTGAGAGATGAAATCACAAAAAATGAGGTCAACTGATCAAATGAATTAGTTGGCCTGTGCTGTATAACTCAAATAATATAACTAAATACATAAATATATATATACATATATTTTTAAAAGTGTTTATATTTTATGTTTCTATTTTGATAATTCACACATTCATTTTTATACACGAGCGGGAGACACCAACATCATATTCATGATGGTTGGATTGAAAATTTCATTTTGCAGACATTGGTGTCATTGATATTTTAAGTACAAAGATCACAACATTAAAATGCTCTGTTAACTGTTAACCCATATCTTTTAATAAACTAAATTATTATTCTTTTCTTTTTGTATAAAATATATTTTTGTTTAAAAATGATTAGACTCATTACTAGTTATTCTCACCCTTTTTTTTTTTTTTTTTAAAATATATTTTTTTTTTAAAAAATTATTACCCCTTTTATTTTTTTCCCCCCCCCCCCCCCCCCCATTATTATTTGTCTCAAAAGACTGGTTAGATTTCTTTAATGTTGTTCAGACTGCTTCAACTTATTCATGTGGCTCCATGAATAATGATTATTTTTACCTACAATGCATGGAACTTGCAATTAGTTGAACAGAGACAAAGTGTATGTCAGTCATTGCTTTGATATTCCATAGTGAAATTTCCCCCTGCAAATAATATCCAAATCACTCAATTGCCTGTACTATTCCATTTGAATACAAAGATTCTTCCCTCACAATGAAGTTTGCTCACATGTTACCCAAAGGATGCTTTGCTTTTACAATAACTTAGCAAATTTTCTAAACCTTTAAAAAAAAAAATGCTAGAAAAATTCTAAGGAAAAGCATTCTACTGCAGTTTTTCAGCATGAAATAATATGGGGTATAAGGATCAATGTAGGTTTGTGTTCCTGTTCCATTTTTACTTTATCCTTGAACATTTGTCTTATTATATCAAAACAAATAGATCAATAGATACAAATAAACACAATTTGAAACTCACAACTTCTTATTCATTTTTATTTATTTCTAAAATTGACTCATTTTAACTGAGGACTCCAGCATTCCCCCACCCCCACCCCTCTTGTTCTCGTTCGAATCTTTACAACCAATTACTAGCCTACAAACTCAAATAGTAATTTTGAGTTGTAAAAATGTATTTAGGTAAGCAAAACCTACGGCCATTCTGAAGACTGAAGCCAAGTTATTTCTTGCATATGCAGTTGTCCACAGGAGTAGCCTACATATAATTAAAACAAAACATGGTTGATTTAAAAAAATATATATGGTGTCAAGTTTCCATTATTGTATAAAAAGGGGGGTTCGGGTGGTCGGCTGGTTTCATGTTTCAGCGTTCAAATCATAAGATGTCATTTCAGAAATACTCACATTTAAAAATAGACTGCATTAGTGTTTTAATTTTTAACACAAGAATACTGGACTCACACAATAAAACTTTTCGTAATTTTGTTTGTATGATCGCACTCTTTTGTGTGTGCTTCTTAAAAAAAATCCTCTTTATGAACTTCACTTTTGTTAGTGAGTCGCTGACCTGCAGGAAAAACTTCGGACGGCTGATTGACCCACTTCCCGTCAACTTACCTAGCTGAAACTTGGCCCATAGACTGGTTGCCCATGACAACACATTCTTTCAAATTTTCAGCCCCACCCCCAAAAACAGTTTTTTCAAGGAGAACAAGAAAGGAAATATGATGACACTAGTTTCACGAAATAAAATTCACGATAACTGCGCTAAATGAGATTCTTCAAAAATATATATCATAAGTCCGTTTGGTGCATAATATTTTATTTTGTTTTTTCTTAGTTGTTGAAAATAAATCTGCGGTGTAACAGCGGGTGGGTCCTGAGAATATTAATATAGTCCGGGGCGTGAAGAAAATGTGAGGTTGCCAGCCTTGGGCCTTGGGGAAGCGGGGAACACTATTTGGGATTCTTATGAATTGCGTCACTTGTAGCCTACTTGTATGCATGTCTTTTTTTAAATTTTCATCTCCACAACCATTGTTCGATATTTCATTTATAATGAATTTATACCAAAAAAAA